AATTCACTTTATAAATTGTAATATCAATTAATATCAATTATAAACACAAGTGCCTTTAATAGACTAAACTAATTTAAACCAGTAACAAAACATTTTAAAATTTATTAACAAATCAAACGTTGAATTACTAATATTAAATGACCCAAAGTAGACATTCTGTACATAAATGATCACGTTCACCTTCTGAAAGTAATTGTATAAGCAAGTGTTAAATTAAATCTAAATAAAATGCAAGCCCTACCTCTTTGATGAGGTTTTTTTCCTCCCACGAACATCCCAGAATGGGAGGGTGGCAGAAAGTAGATTACAAGAAAGAAAAAGCACTATGAGAGGGGAGGAAGAGAAAAGATGATTGTGTTGCTAGATTAGATAAAAGGAATATGGAGAGTGTTTTGCAGAGCCGCAGCCAGCAGTAGTGGAGAAGTATGGGTGGCAATACCATGCCATACCATGCCATACCATGCCACCCTTACTTCTGCACTGCTGTTGGCAGCAGTATTGCCTTCAGAGCTGGGCGCCCAGTCAGCAGCCATCGCTCTCTGGCTGGCCAGCTCTGAATACAGAGGAGAGAGGGTGGCTGCTGGCTGGGCATCCAGCTCTGAAGGGAGTAATAAAATGTGGTCTCTGGTCACAGATGACAGGTGGTTGCTCTTCAGTTTCTTCAATCAAATTATAGGGGAAAATGTTTCATGGCCTCTGCAAGTAGTCACTTGTAACAGATGGTCTCTCTTCAGAGGTCATCGCCAAGGCAGGATTTACTGTATTTTACTGAATTCGAAGCCTGCTGTTTCTTTTATGGGGGCGGCAATCCAACTGTTTGTTTGGTACATTAGTATTATCCCAGAATTCTTTCCATTGTGCTTCAGGATTGAATGAGGATGCTTTCAGAACTTTAGCCTGATCCCAAAAAGGTTTGCAAGATTTCAGGCATGTTACTGGAAGGTTTTGGAAGTCCTCATGAATTGGGAAGTTCAGGCTGGCAATAGTTTGCTTGTACTCATGAGCTGTATAAGGATCTCTGGATCTTAGGGGCAGGGGATATTTATTTTAATGTTCCTGTTAAATTCTCCTCACAGCACTAAGATGCACACCTAGAGATTTGATATGTGAGCTGCCCACCCAAACTGGTCCTCAATATTCAGCAACTGAGTGTGCCAGTGTTAGAGGGGCTGTTCAAAGTGTGTGCCCATTGCAGATGAGGCTTGTCCTTTCTTTTACATTTTTGCAGATGTCTTTTCCAGATGAGCTTTAAAAGTCAAGTTTCTGTCCAAAGTTACACCCAAGTATTTTGGACAAGAAGGCTCATTTCTGACCTGTTGACCATAAAAGGTCACATTAAGTGGTTACTTGACGGCTTTGTTGTTTCAGTGAAAGGCGATTACCAAGGCTTTGGAGATGTTGGGGTGGAGCTTCCAATACTGAAAGTATTCCTACTATTACCTTGAGGTCTCTGGAGAGAATGTCACTGACGGCGGTGAGGTCTTTGCCTTGTACTGCAAGAATGATGTCAGCGTAAATGAACTTATGTGAAATTGTGTCATGTAAGTCACTAATATAGATATTAAATAGCGATTAAGCCTGCATGGATCTTTGAGGTAAACTATCATTGAGGGTGCGTGCTTTGCTGATTGGCTCATTCAAAAGCATGTGGTATCTACGGTTGCTCGACGTTGTGGCCTGGAGTCACACATTGCTACCACATTTGATGAGCCTTGATGCCTTCACCAATAGTTCATATCTTTAAACCATGTCATGGACGGCAGATAAATCTATCAACACTGTTCCACATTTTAGATTGCACTGGAAGCCAGCTGCAATGTAACTAATAATGTCAACAACCTGGTTGTAGCACTTTGTCCTGGTCTGAAGCCAGCCTGTTCCTTGGGCAGGATGGCCTCAAGGACGGGGTGAGATGGGCCGGTAAAACACGTTCCATTAACTTATGAGTGGTGGAGATAGGGTGACCAGATGTCCCGTTTTTATAGGGACAGTCTCATTTTTTGGGACTTTTTCTTATATAGGTACCTATTGCCCCCCACCCCTTGTCCCATTTTTTCACAGTTGCTATCTGGTTACCCTAGATGGAGAGGAGTGACGTGGGGCAATAGTTGGTGGCATCATTTGGTGGTTTCCCATATTTGAAGAGTGACTATTGCCACACACCAGCTTTGTGGGCTCTCCCCTGTTAAATGTTTGGCAGTGAATAGGTCTGGCAGCCATGCTCATCCCTTTGGCCCCAAATTTTCCACTTTTCCACTTTTAGTGGCCATAAGGGCCTTGTTTGTTTTCTTCTGTAGTGGTGACATGGCAGTGTTTCTTAGACATATAGAAAGAGCACTTTCTGAAACTTCTGTCTAATCAGCTTGTCAGTTTTGGTCTTTCAATTACAGAGAAGGTGTGAGGTGACAGCACCGTGTGTTTCGTTTGCTGGTGTTTTACTGAGTCAGTGTCTCCAGCCTTATGGAAGAGTGCCCAGGCTTTGCTCCTGGAATTAGTGAAGTCAAGACCTCCATTGTCTTGTTCCATCTCTTCAGGCAGCAGGGTTCAATGACTCTATTAGTGGTTTTGCTGTGTCCGGATCACCACTCTTCTCATATTAATTGAAGAGTGCCTATGTCTGTGGCTGAAGAGAGCCTTTGTCTTCTGCTGCTCAGAAGGAGTATAGACCTTCTGATAGCCACGAGGAATGTGTTTTGTGGCAGCTTTAATAAGAAGGTGAACAAAGCATAGTCATAGTTTTCTGGGATTGGTGTAATATGGTGTATCCAGTCTTCAGCTTCTGCTGTGTATGCAACCTAGTTTGCTTTGCTGGAATTCCAGTGTGGTTTCAGTATTGATTCATTTGATGGAACTCCAAAGCTGAAGTGCAGAATACTGGGGCAGTGCTGGCTGCAAGGAACATTTCCAAGCACCGTTAGTGACGCTTGCAAAGGAACACTGCTATTGTCTTTCTTCAGAAAACAGAGGTCTGGATTGCATTCAGTATTCCCTCTGGCAATGACTCGTGGCTTAATCCTGCTCATTTCAGCCCAAGGCAGTTTTCTTTTTTCCTTTTCTTCCTCCTGAGTTCCTTTGCTGAATGGCTGCAGCACTGCACTCTGAATCCAGTTTATTTTGCCTCCATATGAGAGCGCAGTTTTAAGTTCACTGACCTCCCTTACAGAAAGCTTCAGAATGTGAGAATTTCCACTCAGAAACTTTGGGGAACATCAGATAAATTGGATTGGCAGTTGTTGCTGTTGTTAAGAACCAGGCCATGGGTGATCTTGCCTAATAGTCAGGTCAGAAGGCTGACCTAGTGGTTAGAGCAAAGGTGACCAGGTCTAGTGGCCAGAGCCCAAATCAGGAGCCTAGTTATTAAGTCTAGGGAGTGAGCTGGAGCCAAGGAATCAGGAGCCAATAAGGTGACCAGATGTCTCAATTTTATAGGGACAGTCCCAATTTTGGGGTCTTTTTCTTATATAGGCTCCTATTACTCCCCACCCCCTATCTGGTTTTTCACATTTGCTGTCTGGTCACCCCAGGAGCCAAGGACCAGAGCCATGGTCAGAAACCAAATTCCAAACCTATGGAGTGAACTGGAGCTGAGAGCCAGGAATCAGGAGCCAAGAGTCAGAGCGGAAACCAGGAACGAGAAGCCACGGAGGGGGAACCAGGAGCAGGAGGCAGGAGCAAGGGTCAGGAGCAAGTGCCTGGAACAAGGAAGGAGCTGAGAGCAAAAGGAGCCAGACCAGAAACACAGTTGCGGGAGTGGAATGCTGTTGAGCAGCCAGGGACCCTGGGCTGCTGCAGGATTAAAGAATGTGCTTACTGGTGTCTTCAGCCAATCAGGAGCTCAGGATCATTACTGACTCATCTGAGGGCAAAGAGGTGGGTCTGGGTTTGGCTGTGGATCCCTGACCATTGTTGACCTTTCTTTTAGGACAACCTGTGGATATGATGTTTTGGACCTGTATTAATTCTGGCTTCCTCAGAATATCTGAGCTTTCCCTCTCCCCGCCATGCGGTGTGACTAACACCTAAACAGTCTCTTTGAAATTATTCTAATCCATTTCATGGTATGGCAAAAATCCATCCTTGACAATTTTTTAAAGGATATTAAAATCTAAAATCATTTTTAATTGCAAAATATGTCCATTTGGGGAGTATTCAGATTTACATTTCACATTCGGGTCCATATAGAACCCAAGATCCAGCCCCCAGTGTGAACTATACGGTGTAGTAGGATTAGGAGCAATTTCCCCTGCCGGTGGATTATTTAAATGCATCTGATTTAAATCCACAGATTGGGTAGGCTCTCATTTTTTTTAATAAACTCCATAAAGGTGCATATTTCCAAACCTGTATATCTCTACTACAAATTTCCTCAAGTCTTTCTGTAGTAGGATACACACCATATGCACCAAAATATTTAATCCAACAATAATTTTAATTGATGAAACTTTTACATATACATGCCACATAGATCTGCTACTATGTAGGTCCAATAATATGTTGAAAACCGTACTGATTTTCACAAGGCTAATTGTGAACAAAATCCCAGCAACAAAATCCCTGTTTTTAAGTCTTTAGTATGCTTTCCTTTTTAGGGTAAAATAAAATAAATCTTTGAAGAGGTGGCAATTTTCAGTGCTTCTCCGGTATACATAATAGATCACGGCTAGCAGATTTTGGGTTAACAATACTAGAAGGTAGGGGCAAGTTAAGTCTCAAACTTTTATTCTGTGTTTTTTGTTTGTTTGTTTATTTGTCCTGACTTTAGTATGACTGCAGAGACATAGAAGCTAGTGTATCTGAACGGCAATGTGAAGACCTCATATTGGGTACCTTTCATGCTTTATCCTTTGAAGGGAAGCCACAGCACATGCAGTCAATTTATTTGTGTAGGTGAAAATAAAGCCTCACTGGGGTTAAGAAGCAGATTACCCTATGAGTGTTCTTGTATAAGCAGTGGAATGTGAGGTTTGCCTCAATGTTCTGCTGTCAGTGCTTTGGTCAACTGTCATGCTGACACAGCTCAAGCTCTTCTGATTGGTTGTTTGCAATGACTGATTAAGAATATTGATGCGGTCTCTGGGTTCCTTTCCACTTGGAAGAGAATTCGGTTTTCCCCACCCCCAGGCCACCTCTAGGATGCAAGTAATTGTGAGACTATGAAGATCGAAACAGAGCAGCCTGAGTGACTGAGGAAATACAACAGTCTGTTTTAACGGCAGAGCTATGTAGCAGTTTTCTTCAGACTTCTTAACATAGATTATACAGCACAAACTGCTTATAGGTTTTGGAAGGCTGTGAGAGGACTTACTGGTTGTATACTAGTATTTTTTGTATATCATCACACTATCTTGCCTGTGTCTGGACAGCTGTGGTCGGAGCTTCATTTGGATGTCTTTCTTTTGAAGATACATAAAAAGGATCCTTAATCTGATTCTCTTTGGATCTTTCTATTTTGATGGTAAGTGCCAGCATGTATTGGCTGAGCATAGCTTCTTTGCTGCAGTGCTCTCTCCCTCTCTCCCTCCCCTTCTATTCTCAGCTAAGCCTAGTGACCTTCATTCAGTATCTAATGCTCATTTTCATCTGCTTCATGTTGCAGTGTTTTTAGCCAACTGAAATAAAACTTTTTCTTTATTTTTCTCCTGAAAGCCTGCGCTTTTAAATACCAGTTGAAATCTGAGTCCTATCTCTTTGTCCTTGAAACAGGAGGCATGGGAACGTGTTCATGGTTGTAAGCGGCAGCAGTGTTACAGGCATTCGGTGTAACTGAATGAAATTACAGATTTGATAAAGGTTACTCATGCATACAGGTCTGCACCACAATATTGGAAGGACAAAAAAGCCTGCACTTGACTAGCCATCTAGAAAACTCTGTAATTCTTCAGCTTTAAGTGTGGTGCACACGTGTGGATTGTGCCAATGAATGCTATCCTCACCATAGTTAAGGAAGGTTCTGTCCGTATTTCCAGTATAAACCCTTCCGTTCAGGCATCTGCAAGTTGGACGGTAAAATTCACTCTGAGCTGACCCCTAAAAACCTACTCTGAGTGGGCTGGGGGGTGGGAACTGACTGAATGAGCTACCAGGTCTTTCCTTCTGTAATCTGTGTGATTCTAAATTCTTCACCTTTGAAAGTGCTTTTATAACGCTTCAGAGGAACAAATGCCTTTACGTTACAATAACAGAAACCATTCGCTTGCTTCATCCATGCTTCATGCTATGTTAACAAGTCTGTTTTTAAAAACAAAAAATAGGAAGGTTGTTATTTAGTCTGTAACGGAAAATATGTCCTGGAGGTATTTGTTTCTAAAAAGAGGTTGAGCCATTTGAGGATTAAAATGATGACAGCACAACGGCAAACTGGTACCTTTTTAAAGAATATTTTTACAGCATATTTGGTAGCAGGAAGCCATAGTATGCAAATATTTCTTATGACTAAATGTATTTCATATTGTGACTCCATAATGTGGATTATCTATGTATGTCCATTGTACAGTGTAAGAATAATAAACACTTCGCTAAATCATCGGGGGTCCACTGATGGGGTAGGATACAACACTACAGTTGAAGCTTGTTACGGGCTGATGTAAATCCTTGCACAGCTACCTACAAGCAAGGCAACATGCAGATATGCTGCACTCCTTTTGTTCACTGAGGCAGGATAAGGGCAGAGTTTCTTTTAACTCGGAATTTTCTCTTATCAGGGTAGGCTAGAGAGATGCTGCTGCCTGGAAATCAGTTTTCATTGTTGAACGTATAATAAATTATGGATTCCTTAATAAAGAAATCTTTTGTTAGTGATGTAGCCTGTGATCTAGAGTACATGTTTTATTTGCTTAACTGTAGATGTTTATCTTTCTCCTCCAAAGTGAGTGAAGACTTTAAATATTGCCATATAACCACCTGAATCTCTTTCCAACACTTTGGGCCCAATCCGGCCTTTATTGATAGGAGGAGGCAGGGCTTGCTGTTTGCGCAGTAATTGCAGGAGGTGCTAGATGCTATGGTGATGGGGCCATATACATACCTGTATGTGTGGGTAGCTGCACTGTGTGGTGGGGCACACACTACTTCTCCTCTGAAACAGAGCAGCGTGCGCCAACATTTAGCATGTGTTGGAGAGGACACCACACGCTCCAGACTGTTGAGGTCTGGGTAGGCTCCCTAATGTGCAGACCCAGACATCTTGAGAGGGTGATGCACCGGTTGGTGCAATACCGTTTCCTGTCTCCCTCCCTACTGTGCTGTTGAGTGCTGGAGTTCTGCTGAGTCCTAGGTTTGGGATCCTGCCCTGCTGCTGTATCTGTGGGAAGTAAAGATGTCTGTTATCTTTCTGTATTAAGACACCTGTGCAGTACAGAGAAAGGTTTCATCCTTTCAGAATGTTTTAGCAAAGCGCTTCTAAAGTGCTTGGGTGCTGCATGGTACCAAAAATATTCTGTGCTTTCAAATGCATGGGGATTATTGTGTTTTTTGATGTGGGTAATAGAGGCTATTTGGATTATTTTCTTTCTATTTTATTAATTTCTGGTGACTGTAATTAAAATGTAGAAGTAACTTTGTGTTTTTGAAACCAGCAGGAGTCTTCCTAATGCACACATGGAACTATCAACTCCAGTGCATTACTTTTGACAGAGTAGATTCAGATCGCTGTTGACATACAGTATTGACTGAATATAACATAATTCTCTGTGTGTGTGTATATGTAAAACTATATCCACACATACTGTTTTGTTCCCTGTAATATTTTTGTAAATTTTATTTAAAATATATACAAAATAATTTGTAAAAATGCTTGCACAAATCTGGGTAACTGATTCAAGGCAGCTGAATTTGAGAACTTTTAAAGATTAGAGTTAAAAAATAACAAATTATACTGTACATACTTTAAAAAAGATTATTAGAAAACCACATTTTTTCCCACTCCCCAAAACAACGTCTCCTCTCAGCAAACAGCTAACCAGGCCTTCTCTCAAAAATGACACATACATTTGAAAAATGAATTTCTTGCAAAAGTCAATTTTGATTATTTCTTAAAAACTAGACACAAAACCATGTCTTACCAGTGCAATGACAAATAGTTGAAAAGCCAAAACTACATCAGAATATGTGTTCCCACTTACCTTTTTCTAAAAAGTTTTCCATGTTGGGGAGAGGGAGAAGAAATTATCAAATTTACTTTATCATAACTTAGCTCCTCAATATTGAGAGCTGAATCTTGCAATAGAATGTGCTAGTGTGGACCCTTATGTCTATGCTCTGTCCACTTAAATCAACAAACTGTACGTCTCTGTCGATAGTCTGTGTTAGCAAATCGCACTGCAGGATCGGGATGTAAAACATAATGATGGAAAAAATATGGGGGCTAAGGATGAGGGGGAAATTGCTAAAATAACATTGTCTTCATAAGTATAAATGCTTTTTAATTCTCATAAAGCTCTGAAGAAATGCTCTGATTTGGGGCTGCACACACAGTTCTTCCCTGTCTCACAGCGTGGTGTCATGTTAATTCCTTTGCAGAGTGTCTGAAGTCTGCATAGAAAACAACTGCAGGGGAAAAAAGAAAAAAAGGAAAAAGCCCTGTTCCTTAGTGAGCTAAAAACACCCATTGGTCTGATGAAGTCTCTGCATTATTTTTTCTGTATATATTTAATGTGCAGTCTGCATCTTGATTTGGCCATGGGAGCAGGTTCTTTAAAGGTTTATACTCACCTAAGACTATACAGATACTCAATCCTACACATTTATAGCAAATATTTAACATACAGAAGAACTACATTTACAAATAGCTCACTTGATTTCCATGTAACTTTTCCGTTTTCTTGCTATGTATTTCATCACATCCTTTTCAGCTGCAAATATACTGTCTTTTCTTTTTCTGTTATACACAGTGCTGTCTTTTCTCTCCTGTGAAACATAAACTCCAAATGTTTCAGTATTATAAATGATGTAAAAATTACCCTATCTTATGATCCTGTCCTGTAGCGGACATTCAGACACTTTAAACTACTCTCCCATAATTTATTAGGCAAACCTGACCACAGACCAAATTCAGGTCTCAGTTACACCCCTGTAAATCTGGAGTGACTCTACTCAAGCCAACGGAGTTACTCCAGATTTATATTGGTGAAACAGAGTAAAATTTGGCCCCATGCCTATTCGGCTAGGGCAAATTATTAAAGTAATCTCTTAATCCAGCGTTTCCCAAACTTTTTTGGCCACGGAACACCTGGTATATATTTATGGAACACTTCTAATATTATTTTCTAGTCATTTGGTTTTCAAATAAAAATGGCATTATTTATGCTCAAATATATTTTATTTTATAAAACAAGCAAAAATACAAATTTAAAATAACTTGAACTAACCATTTCTAACTGGAAAGCGCGTATAAAACAGTACAAAAATCAGGTGCAAGACCCTTTTTTTAAATTACGATTCTTTCCCGGAACACCAATTCACACCATGCGGAACACCAACGTTCCGCGGAACGCAGTTTGGAAACGCTGTCTTAATCTATAGGTATATTTGTTTTGGGTTTTGTGAATATGAAACTCTATGGGAAATTTAAATGGAGTAATTTTCACTTTTAAATTACTGCAGAAATATTTATTCTGTGAGTGGCATATCTCTCTCTTCAAAGTTGAGTCAAGCCAATTTTATTTCAGTGGTAATCCTAGATCAAGAACTTTACATAGTTATCTCATTTACAATAACGCTCAAATCAAGCTGTTTTAAATTAGAAGTCTAAAACTGGGACTTACCAGATAGTTCTTATAACATGAAATGGAAAGGATTCCAATATCACAACACATACCGTCTTCAAGGGTCCTCTCTATAAGACCTACAAGACTTGTGCACCATTAAGTGGTGCCTAGGCACATGAATGAATTTTGTCCCAAGAAAACACAGGTAGTGAAAGCTTTTTCATTATGCCTCTCTTCCATGTAAAAGGGAAAATGTAGATATATCTTAAAATATATATGTAGGATGGTGTTTGGGGGTTGCTGGGCAACTCCCCAAGGCAGGAGCAAAGCTGGCTTCTGCAGGAGAAGGTGGATAGCTAGTGAGAGCAGGCTGGAAGCTTAGGGCAGGAACAGGGGCAGGCTGAAAGCCGGGGTAGGCCATAACAGCATGAGGAAGAGTTTCCAGCCATGTGATGACATTGCACAGACTGGCTTGCCGCTCTTCCTGTGGGATTTAATAGCTGTCCCTAGGGGTCATCTGACCCAGTCCTTGCTCACACCTGCTGATGCACACCTGAAGGATGAGTCATCGCAGGTTCTGCCGAGGGATGACTCATTGCAGGCTATAGTTGAGGGATTACCTCATATTACTCCCTCTTCAAGAGCATCTCTCAGGTGTCTTTGGACCAGGCTTGTCAGGACTAGGTTGATGAAATTCATGGACAGCTTGGATGTCAGTAGCCCAGTTCCCACCAGCATTCCTCTAGGCCAT